TGTGTGTGTGTGTGTGTGTGTGTGTGTGTGTGTGTGTGTGTGTGTGTTTATGTCTTTCCTAATCTGGCTCCTGAAAAAAATCAACAAGATCGGAAATCTGTTGTTTTTGCATGTGTCTTTTCTCCATCTTGGATTTGAATTCAAATTTCATTTAATTTTACATTCTTAAAGTTGGAACCATTCATGTTAACATGCAAATTTATTCAAGCACCAAAACAGAAGAATGTGGTGTTTTTGAGCCCAGAACATTGGCTTTTTTTCTTCTTTCTCTCTCTCTTTTTTTTTCTCTTAAAGAAAACAGGATTTAAACAGAAGAGAAGTAAGGTGACCCTCTGAGTTTTTTTGTTTTTTCTAGACGAAAAGTAAGTCCAAGACCACCAATTATTCAGGGAAATAATGAATTCATTCTTAGGAAAGCCTAATCATCACCATCACCCTCATTAGAAAGCAAGCATTCTGTGTTCTGTCAGCTTCGGCAACTCCAGGCAACCTTCTTTCTCCACCCCAGAGCAATATACAATGGATAATTTTATGGAAATCACATGTAACTTTTATTGACCACTGACTCATTTAATTTTAATTCCATAGACGGGAATGCCAAGGAGCTGGAATTGCGTACATTGAGGCTGTGGTTCTAATATAAATTTTGCTTGGGTATATATGCATGATAGGTCACATAACTTTCAGGAACCATGAATAATTGAAAAACATCTGAATGCATTATGAATGATACATATGTTTATGTTTTAGCATTCAACATCTATTTCCATTACACTGTCTAGAATGCAAAGCTCAAAGCATCTAATGTCTTATGGGCACTGGGGAGAAAATGACCTTCCCAGATGAGCAGTGCAAGATGAAAATGGCCTGGAATTTGATTGTCAACATCCTTCTTGTGTTCCCTCCATTCTGTTAATACTGTAAATATTCTGTTCTTGCTGTAAATCTAGCCAAAGGTGGGAGATGATGGGAGGAGCACATGTTGCTGTCTGATGGGAGGGATGCTGCTCTTGCCTCTGGGAAGAGTCAAGGTCAATGCCTACGGCATAACATGGCTCTGGGAGCCCCTCATGTGTGGGATATTTAGGAAAGGCACCTTCTGCTGGGGAATAGACAGGGACTAAGACCCAAAGTCTAGCTGGTGGTCTTGGATATGCGTCTTTCATCATCTTGGCTCTGCCTTCACTGTGACCTTCACGCTGCATATCCCCACCTCTCCTTACTTTCCTTCCTTTTAGATGATTATCTACCATTTATTGAGACCCAGATCCATATGGGAATTTGCCAAAGATCACATAACTTGTGGGGAAGCTGGTAGTCAAACTCAGCTTCACTTGATCCCCAAGGCCCATTGCTCTTATACTTTTTTTTAAGTTTGAAGGTACCGAGCCCATTTTTAAAAACATCTCAGACCATAAAATTCACCCATTTAAAATTACAATTCATTAGTTTTTGGTATATTCGCAGATTTGTGCAGCCATTTGCACCATCTAAGTTTAAAGTATTTTTATCACCCCCAAAAGAAACCCTCTACCCAGTACTTACCAAGCTCTGGGAAACAATTATCTACTTTTTGTTTCTATGGATTTACCTATTCTGGACTTTCATGTCAGTGGAATCATACAAAATGTGGTATTTATCTTCTTTCATTTGGCAAAATGTTCTCATGATTCATCTGTGTTTTAGCTACATCAGTACTTAATTCTTTTTTATTGCCAAATAATGTTCCATATTGTGGATATACCTCATTTATGACTTGATGGACATCTGGATGGCTTCTACTTTTTGGCTCTTATGAATAATGGTGCTATGAATATTTGTGTACAAGTTTTTGTGTGGATGTATGTTTTCATTTCTCTTGGTTATATACATAAGAGTGGATTTACTGGGTCTCATGGTAGCTGCATATTTAATACTTTGAAGAACTGCCGTACTATTTCCCAAAGGGAAATAGGGGTCCAAATTCTTTTTTCTTTTCTTTTCTTTTTTTTTTTTTGCATGTAGATATTCAATTGTCCTAGGACCCCTAACTGAAAGACTGTTTTCCCCATTGAATTATATTGACACCCTCATCAAAAATCTATTTACCATAAATGTAAGAGTTTATTTCTGGACACTCTGTTCTATTCCATTAACCTATATATCTGTCCTTATACTAGTGCCACATTGTCTTAATTACTACACCCGTGTAATGAGGTTTGAAATTGGGAATGTAACTTTGACTTTGTGCTTCTTTTTCAAAATTGTTTTGACAATTCTGGGTGTCTTGCATTTCCATATGAATTTCATGACCAGCTTGTCAATTTCTGCAAAAAACCCAAGCTAGGATTTTTGATAGGGATTGAGTTGCATCTGTAGATTAATTTAGGAAGTATTTAAAGTCTTATAATCTATGAACATGGTATATCTTTTTATTTAGATCTTTTTTAGTTTCTTTCAACAGTGTTTTATATTTTCAGTGTATAAGTCTTGTACATATTTTGTTGAATTTGTTTATGAGTATTTTATTCCTTTTGATGCTATTGCAAATGTAATTGTTTTCTTAATTTCAATTTTTCATTGTTCATTGTGAGCATATAGAAATACAATTGATTTTTTTTTAAAAAATTATTTATTTTAGAGAGAGAGAGAGCATGCCAGTGAGCACAGGGAGGGGCAGAGGGCAAGGGAGAGAGAAACTCCAACAGACTCTTCTCTGAGCTTGGAGCCTGACACGGGCCTCAATCCCATGACCCTGAGATCATGACCTGAGCTGAAACCAAGAGTCAGATGCTCAACCAACTGTGCCACCTATGGGCCCCTTGATTTTTTTTGTATATTGATTTTGTATCCCATACCTTTGCTGAGCTCATTTTTTAATTCTAATAGTTTTTAGTGGATTCCTTAGGATTTTCTATTTATAAAATCATGGCATCTGTGAATAGAGATAGTTTTATATCTTCCTTCCCCAATCTGGATGCATTTTATTTCTTTCTCTCCCCGCCCAGCTCCTCTTTTTCCAGCTAATTGCCCTGACTAGAATCTCTAGTACAATGTTGAATAGAAGTGATGAGAGCAGACTTCCTTGTCTTGTTCTTGATCTTAGGAGAAAAAAAAAACTAGCCTTTCACTGTTAAGTATGATGTTAGCTGTGGCCCATTGCTTTTTTTTCTCTCTCTATAAGGCTTCCCAGAGAACAATTTATATCACATCAACATGATACTGATATGAAACATTCTGTATTGTAATGAGGTGGTAACTACATGTCCACATTGGGGAGGGACAATACGGTATGTCCCAAGGTTGGCAGGGTCATGGTACTCTCATCAGGTAGCTGAACTTTTCTTTGGGCCTCTTCTGCTGCAGGGGTCACATTAGGAGAGTGGATTATAGCCTCTGCACTTCTGAAAATTGGTGACTTTCTTTGTTTATGTGAGAGATGATGTTGGTCATTAGCCCAGAACTTTGGGGCATAGACTGTCTCTTGTTTGTCTTAGATGTTGTTAATTTGGATATTCTTACAACTATTTTTTTTATATATGCCTTTTAAAAAAGTTTTTATTTAAATTAAATTCCAGTTAGTTAACTTACAGTATAATATTAGTTTCAGGTGTACAATATAGTGATTCAACACTTCCATGCAATACCTGGTGCTCATCACAACAAGTGCACTCCTTAATCCCCATCACATACTTAACCCATCCCCCCACCCACCTCCCCTCTGTAACCATCAGTTTGTTCTCTGTAAAGAATCTGTTTCTTGGTTTGCCTCTTCATCTCTCTCTCTTTTTTTTTTTTACCCTTTTGCTCATTTGTTTTGTTTCTTAAATTCCACATATGAATGAAATCATATGGTATTTGTCTTTCTCTGACTGACTTTGCTTAGTGTAATACTCTGTAGCTCCATCCATGTCATTGCAAATGGTAAGTCTTCATTCTTTTTGATGGCTGAGTAATATTCCATTGCATGTATACACCACATCTTTATCCATTCATCAGTTGATGGACACTTGGGCTGTTTCCATAATTTGGCT